TGATGACCAAAAGACCAAGGTCGAGCTCAAAATGGAAATCTTTACTTTTTTGGTTTTCCCCCAGAAGATCAATGAAAAAGTTCAAGTTATTACCTCTCCCTGAAGATTATCAGTCGATGGAGTCATATAGTTAAACGATTTCATATACCAGGTGGCTAAACCCTAACCCCGCGCTCACTTCTGTAGTCATGCTGTACCGTACGCACGAGTGCGGGGCGGGCTTGCCTATATCGCCCCTGTCCACGGCGCCTTACGAGCCGACCGAGTAGTCAACCCGCCCGCACATGTACAGCATGACTAAGTGAGCGAGGTTAATCATCCACCTGCTTTTAGTAATATCGGGTGTATCCGAGCGGACGACGCAGAGTTAGGGCCTGCATACAGGAGCCATGGCTCCTTGCGGGCGGGGTGAGTAGGCAAACCCGCAACCCTGCTGCGTCCGCTCGGAAACACCCGGTACACTTCCCTCAGCAAGCCGATGTCTGAAATAATGTTTCTTCGGCGGTCCTTAGCGTGCACGGAGCCATCGTATCGACCCCTCGAGCTGATTGCGGGTGGTGGGTGCGCCCGTGAGCCGGTGAGCCCGCCGCGCCCCGGGGCCCCAGCAGAGCAGCTCCCGGGGCTGCTGCCGCAGCTACCGCCGCTGTCGGCCGCCGTTAGAAATTAGAAATTAGGCAGCACGGCTTGTCGAGCCAGAGGCCGAGCCGGCCCAGGCGTGGCCCGGGGGCACGTCGGGGAGAGGTACGTAAACACCGCCTGCACGATGTGCTCACGCAAATATCAGATCGTGTTTGATGTGGGTCGTTTGCATGTGTTTGACTAGATGGCAGGCGGCTCACTTTAGCGGGAAATGACAGCAGTGCTCTAGCGCGCTAGCACTCGTACTATCACATATGAAACAGACGCAGCCGCCAGTGCTTCCACAAGGCTTTGTGCGTGTCCCACCCAACCATATGTGCCAGCGGCGAGTGTGTCGCGGGTGGTCAGGAGTCACCGGGGGGTCACCACCTAGGTCAGACAGGCCCCCCAGAGTGGACAAGGGGACCCCGCCCCGGACCTACCCAGTCCAGCCGCACCCCCTGCAAGCCAGCGCGACCTGCGCCTAAGGTTAGAAACACGCACACCCACGCACGCGCACACATGCACACACAAGCACACACACAAGCACACGCACGCACACGCACGCACACGAACGCACACGCACACACGCAGAACCTACTTTGCGCGCCTCCGCCTGAGCTCGCTCTGTGACCGCCCCCCCCCCTCTGCCCCCTCCTGAGTGAGGAGGCGGTGAGCGGGATATATAACCTGTTCAGCGGTCGGCGGCACCCGCGAGAAATCCCCTACCTCCCCTCCGCTCTCCACTGCCTCTCCCCCATCCTCGGTTCTCTCGATCCGCGGCCTTCCCCTCCCCTGCTCTCCCCTGGCGTTCCCCTTCCCTCACCACCCACCGGCGAACGAGCAACCAAAACAAAAGCCAACACACCGGCTTGTTTTTGTTGTGGAAGTAGTTCGATTGAACCCCCCCCCCCCTCCCCTGGGCGGCACACACACACACTTGAGGCTTGCGTCGGCATTGGCAATTAATACGCGACTGCCGCTGAGCCTGTCACCGCGGTGTCGGCGAGGTGGGCCAGTAGTGGACCCCGGGTACCACAAAAGATACACAGGTCATGTGCTCCACACCACACAAGGCACCAGAAACTGGGTGTTGGAACCAAACAAGTAGTTGTGTCGCCTCCGACTCGCCACCGTTCTCGATCACGATCCCGGCCATTTTAGAGTTGAAGGGGAGCGGTTGAGAACGATGGGATGTCTCATTCCCCCTGTCAGCCAAAGAGACATAATTTGACGTTTTTAAGGCGTCAGCACAATGATTGTTTGGGAACAACTGGAACAGTGTGGAGGAAGCGACGGACGAGAAGAAAAGGGAATGGAGATGAAGATTTTCGGAGAGCGGTCGGCCGGGCGGCCGTGCTGGGGGCGGCTGGAGGTGAAGGAGGACGCGAGAGAGGCGAGGCGAGCACGAGAGGATTGAGAAGGGCATAAGGGAGTGAGGAAAAGCGGGGGGGGGGGGGGCGATGCTGCCCCGCCGGCGGCACGGCTGCCGCCGCGTACAACTACCTGTACTGCCCCCCTCCCCCCTCCCACCTGGCCCCTTGCCCTATCGGGGACCGGCCGTAAGCAGGGGGCGCCGCTCAAATGCGAACGCTCACTGGACTTTCCAACAGTCTTCCCTCTCGAAGCTCTCGAGCTTTGAGTGATATCGCGGCTGAGACGGGGGAGACACGGCAGCGCGGCAGCGCCACTGAACCCCAACATACAGTCACCGGAGCCATCGGCCCGAACCACCCCGAGACACCCACCCGCGCCACTGCGATAAGCTCCAAGCTCCAAGATACGCCCCTCGTGCCCGCCTCCGCGGTGCATCCCGGTGCTGCCAACCTGAGCACCCCACAGGCAGAGGCTGGACGCACAGTCGTGGCGGTTGGTCTACCTGCGCGCTGCTGGGCCCGTGAGTGTGTGTGTGTGTGTGTGTACGGCCGAGGATCCCGACTCAAGACTCAAGAAACGGTGCTGCTTGAGCGCTGGTGAGGGGAGGGGGGCCGCCTCCCTCCGCCTACCCCGCGCCCGACCCG